TTTATTTTAACCATATTTTATTTCGTCATAAAATAAATCCCTGTGATACCATTGATGGTGTATCCATATGGGCCAAGATCGGACAGCAAGTCACTATGTGTAGGCCTACTTGTCTTCACATCAGAAAGGTGAGCTGTCACACACAAAATGGCAGTTCAGTCAAACATGACCTTTGTCTGATTGACTAGAATGCCATTACTTTAACGGGGAACTAAAGCCAGCACTGTTCCATATCTCATGTCTGAAAAGGGCTATTGTGTACAGTGTAACACAACCTTCAGAAAACTATTATTTGACCAATTGCTTTTGTACATCTGGGTGACAGGGATTTGCTGTCAGCTGTGACCACATGACCCAAGAATTTAACTTTTTCTTGAACCCACTGTAACTTATTCAAGTTTATTTTGTGTGTCTGGTATCAGCAAATGTTTCAGCAGGGTCAAAGAGTTATGGAAGGCGAGTAAATTATTAAATTGAAATTAAATTATCAAGAAAATGATCATTTAATGCAGCATTAGGGTTGGGTGTCTATCCATTAATGTAACATCTTAGTTCACATTTATGCTTTGCTGAAAGTTATATGAAAATGTTCTTAAGTTGGACCTAATAAGATTGCCAGCACGAAATCTACGGCTAAGTGAGATCTAGGACAAAGAAGGTAGCAGTTAGTTGGTTGTGTTTTTGGAACTTTGGTTTTAAGTTTGATTAGGGCTTTCTGTCAGGTAGCTATCAGACTGTGTTGGAGCACAGCACTTCCCAGTTTCACTCTTTGTCTTTCAATAGGTAGGCCATTCCCTCTGTTGCTACCTGGCTGAAATCTGAAAGAGGTGGGTTCAGCTATAGTACTTCCTGGTCTTTAAACACACATGCTATGCTGTAGCGTCAGCAGAATAATCAGCCTTTTTGTGTCTGCCCTCATTATGTGAAGACCGAATTGGGTAAAGACCTGCAAGTATATCTACTCCTCATTTGAATACCATGCAATCAGTGTCACTGCACTGGTTAAGCTAATTGTTGTTGTCATATACCGCCCTTCATGGTGTCAACTGGGTAACTTTGTAGCTGAAGTGGACATGCTATTCTCGGCCATTCAGGATTATGGCCACTTATTGTCACGGTTTTAAACTGGTTCACTCCACCGAGACTGCACTCCTATCTGTAACAGAATCACTGCATTCTGCTAGAGCTGCTGGACAGTCTTGAGCTCTATTGCTGTTAGATTTGTCAGCTGCCTTTAACATGGTTAACCACCAAATTCTCCTCTCCACACTCACTGAGCTTAATATCTGAGGATCTCCCCTCTGCTGGTTCATGTCCTACCTCTCAGGGAGATACTTCAGAGTATCTTGGAGGGGGACAAGTGTCTGAACTGCACAACCTATCCACAGGGGTTCCTTAAGGGTCGGTGCTTGGTCCCCTCCTCTTCTTAATAAGATAAAGATAAAGATAAAGAGACTTTATTGTCATTGTGCAGGAGTACAACGAAACTTGTGTGGAAGAACACGACAATAGCAGCAAGAAATAAAAATAATTTAAACAAAGTACTATATACACAAAGCATTATATACAATAAAGTGAGTAATATACATAACCTCACTTGGCACAATAATCCATGCCCACGGTTTCTCATCCCATTGCGATGCTGATGATCAGCTCTTCCTGTCGTTCCCCCCAGATGACTACATGGTTTCCAGCTTGAATTAACCCAACTCAAACCCACAAACTTACTGGCAGCCCTCCCCGCATGAAAGGTTAAACATCTGCAGATGGTCCAGAACACAGTAGCATGTCTGGTTGTCAAGCAGCCAAAAACAGAACATCACCCCGCTGTTCAAATAGCCTCACTGGCTTCCAGTTGCTGCCCACATCAAATTCAAAATCCTGAAATGTGCCCACAAAACTACAATGATAACAGCTCTAGCCTACCTGAACTCTCTCATTCAGGTCTACACTCCCTCCTGCTCATTATGCTCGGCCAACAAAAGCTGCCTGAGACAACCACCACAACAGAGCCCAAGGTCGATAGCTAGACTCTTCTCTTCTGTGGTTCCCCGGAGGTGGAACGAGCTACCAAACTGTTCGATCTGCAAAGTCCCTCTCAGTCGTTAAGAAAACATTAAATACCCAGCTCTTTACTGAACACCTCTGTACTTGACAGACTGGAAAAAAATAAAAAATAAAAATAGCTATATATATATATATATATATACACACTACCGGTCAAAAGTTTTAGAACACCCTAATTTTTCCAGTTATTTATTGCAATTCAAGTTGTACAAGTCCAATGAATAGCTTGAAATGATACAAAGGTAAGCACTGAACAGCCAGAGGTTTAAAAAAAAAGGTTTGGTTACACAAAACCGAAAAATAATGTACATTTCAGAATTATACAAAAAGGCCTTTTCCAGGAAACATGAAGTGGGTTAACAATTTAAAGCTGTTCTGCAGCAGTGAAGGTTGAAAAAGCCTTAAAAGCTGGTGCTACTAATTCCTACAGGTG